CGCAGTTCAGCAGGCAGCTGAAGAAAGCGACTGGGCGCATCAAGTGCGACCGATGGAGCCGGCGTCATGAGTTTGTTGGTTTGAGATGTGGGTGAACGGCTATCCGGGGTAGCAACTGCCACGGCTTGCTCTGTCATGTTGGTGAGTGATCTTCAACCTGAGTAGATGGTTGAGTGGTTTGTATGTTGAACGGATATGGAGTTCCAGCCTTTTTATACGTTAAGGAATGTAGGGAAGAAGGAAGTGCTGGGAGCAAATGTCTACCAAGCCTGAACGTTCAGGCAACTACAGCGGGCTACATTATTTTGTGACGTCAGATCAGTCTTATTACTACGTCTGCCTAACGATAAGGCTCCGTTATCGTATTGTGTACTTTCCATATTAACTCGATGCGTCCTGCCTCCACCCCGCGCCAGCACCTCGACTCGACTTCTACAACTCGGCTGCGATCTGCAGATTAGTACCGAATACTGTCTCGAGATGACTTATACATCTTCCACGGGTCACGATAGCGACGACGCAAAGTTGCCGGGCAACTACACTGGATCCGCCGCTTCCCATTTGTCACTCCCCACCATGCGCCAAGATGGACGCTCCTTCCTCAACCTCCCCGCTGAGCTCCGCTGCATGGTATACGAATACTTCTTACCAGAGGACCAACTAGCTGTCTATCCTACACCGTTAGTCTACAATGTTCTGCTACACATGTGCAAGCAGATCCGAGAAGAAGCGCAGAGAGAGATCCAAAAGGCCGCTGACAAGTACTTCCGCGCCCACGACGCCAAATGGCTTCGCAAACCTTGCTTTCGTTTTATAATAAAACCCGTAATCGACCCCACCGAAGTCACTGTCATCATCCCAAAAGCCTTCCCCCAAATGCATGTTCTGGATGATTTGTTCCTTAACATTCCGCTACTTCGCCTGCGGCTCCGACAACTCAACTTCGACATTTCTAAAGCGAAATCAAAAGCCAGCCATTCAAAAAAGGCGGACCTTCTGGAGCTGCTCCATTATTGGATCAAGCTTCACAAGCCCCAGGCGTTCCGGACGACTATTAGCTGGGGGCACTGTCAGTCCTGGGCAACAGCAACGGAGATGAATAACTGCTGCAGGAAATTGGAATTGAAAACCCGTCCACGTGGATACAACGTACTAGGACGGGTAGAGATGTTGGTTCGATGGGATAGCGACTCAGATCCAGGCAATGAGCACAGCATGTTAGAAGCTGTAGCAGTCTCTTTCCAAAGGATAACTTCGGTCCCGAGAGAGCTAGATTGAGACGTTTCAAGTGAAGCAAACTGAGCTGTTGGGCGAGGCGGTGAGAACAACCGAAGACGGGCAAACAGAGCCGTCACTCTATCTCTCATTCCAAGATATGGGAAAAGGTCATATGTCTTCCTCCAGCTTGCCATCACTAAGTAAGACTTGGAAAGCTGGGATACGTATGTTGAAGGAAAGGTCTATAAGACGCGAGTCATGGAAAAATGAGAAGCCAAAACCATCAACGAGTGCATCGTCTTGCACAGATCGTGAAAGCCCGCAAATGAGACTCCATATCCCCATATCCAACTCCCCGTTTTCTCTTCACCCCAAGCGCTGAAAGCATCGATGGCCACTCACACCATCCTCTCAGCCTGATCGCTCACTTCCTCACAACCGTAAGAGCCGGCTCCGGCTTACTCCTCTTCTTCTTCTTGACCTCGACCGCGGGCGCAGTCTTCACCCTCTTCCTAGGCTGCACCTCATTCGGCCTGGCCGCCGTACCCCGCTTAGTTCCCTTTGCCTTACCCTTCGCCGCAGTCTCAGCCGCCGCAGTCTTCGCCTGAGGCCCCCGCTTAGTTCCCTTATCAGCCCTCACCTTCTTGGCCTTAGGTTCCGGCTTCAGCAGTCCATGTTGCTTGATGTAGTAGATCACATCAAGCGCCACGTCGCAGAACTCTTGCGTGCCGCGGATGAGTTGTAGCGGCTTCTTCTTGCTCTCCAAGCCCGCTCGGTATCGGTCCACAACGGCAAAGAAGATCTCGTTGGTATCGGCATTGGCGGCGTCGCGCATGCGCTCGTAGTCCTCTTCGCCACGGTTGTGATCTTGGTGAAAGTGGCCTCGTCCCATGCCGAACTCGTCGCCGATTTCGAATTGAACGTACGCTTCTATGACCATGAGAGTGATAGTATGGAAGTTCAGAAGAGCGACGGCGGGCTCTGGGTCTGGTGATGACATGGCTTGCTGACCGGGGATGAAGACATCGATCAGTAGGCGGGCTTCTTCGTCTGCGTGGTCTGGCGAGAGGAGAACTTCTTCGCGGACCATGCCAGGGAGTGAGACCTTTGCGCTAGGGATCTCTTCGCCTTTCTCGAGAGGCTGGCGTTGCATTTCATATCGGGGAAGCGTCCAATCAATTTGTTGGATGTCGTCGGAGGAAGGTGGCGCATTCTCCGTGGGTGTGGGAGAGGGCGAAGCAGGCTGAGGAAGAGGGCGTGGCATGCGCACTACCTTCCGGTCGACAATAGGTCCACTGCTTTTGGGTTTGGAATTGCTCGCGACGAACTCGACGCTTGAGTCGTCATTCAGGCTAGTGACTGATGGGTGACGCTCCACCCGCGTCCGAAGCGGCTCATCATCATCGGATGGATTGCCTTCTTCCTCGTCGCAGTCGTGCTCGTTGAATAATTGCTTTCGTGCCTTTTGGGTGACCTGGGTAGTACGACGTTCCGGTGTCCAGTTATGCGAGCTGTTCTGTTCGTAGTTCATCTGCTGATAGCCACTCGGAGAGGCTCGTTGATAGCTCATTGGGCCAGTGAGGAACGAAGGTACAGCAGCTGTCTGGCCATGATAACCGGCAGAATCGTAAGATACCTGTTGAGTAGATCGCTGACGCTCCGCTTGCTTCTTCTTGACTTGATCCAACTGTCTCTGCTTCTCCTCAACCAGGGCCTGAAGCTCTTGTTGACGATTGAAGGCAGAGTCGATATCGAGCTGGCGGTTTTGGCCAGCGGGCTGTTGCGACCCATGGCGGGGTGAATGTGTTCCGTAAAGCGAAAGGCCTTGGAGGATGGCAGCTGGATTCAGTGCACGTGCGCTTCCAATTGAGGGTGAACTAGACTTGGTGAAGCGGACCGGGTCGGTAAATCCGTGGTTACGTTGACTCCACGGTACCCCAGCTTCAGCTTCGCCACTAAGAAAGGCCAGAGATTCTTGATCAATTGGATCCTCTGGCCGCATCCGCGTCGTTCCATATGTGAAACCAGACGGCATGGCTTGGTGATCGATCGGTTGATGATGTTGGTGTTGTCGGGTTCCGCTGGCTGCGTCCGCCTCGGCTTGGTTCGCGGCGTTGGAGGCCCACTCGTCTACATCGAAGGGGTAAGACATGTTGGTGTCGGCGACAAACGACAAGTCGTTATCACGTGCGAACCATGGTCCGTTTGCGCTCTGCTGATAGCCGCCGTTGACGTCATCGACACCTTGCACCTCCACGGCCGCAGTCCCCTTCAAGTTTTCGGGTTCAGATGTAGCAGCCTGGACACCGACAGCATCCGAGGACTTGCCGGGAATGTCATGTTCGATCGAGACCTGTATTGCCTCGTCGCTAAGATGACCGTCAATGCTCACAGCATCTCTAACCAGGTCCTGGCTTCGACCGTCGATATTCTCATGTGCATCGTGCTCAGGCTCTTCCTTGACCTGACTCGAACTTCCCTTGGGCTCATTCAGGGGCTTCAGGGCTGAGTCTTGATCATCGCCCTGTTTCTCAATCTTGACTTGTGGCGAGGTCGAGTTTGGGCTTCGATGTGCAGTAGCTTCATGGTCTTCGACTTCCTGCTTGACGATGGCGGTTTCGATAGATGGCTTAGCTGATTCATCCGGAGTTGCACGCAAGCCCGGAGAAGTAGAAGAGGCATTACTGATATTTCGGTGACCTTGCGGTGAAGTCACAGGAATCTTGGTACTGTACTTCAGCTTGACCATGAATTGCGGTTTCGCGCTTGGATTCGGCTCTTCTTCAGAAGTCAGAATCTCGTTGCCGTTGACTGTGATAGGAACGGAGTCACCTTTCGGGAGTTGGTCTGCGCCATTGCCGGGTCCTTGACGTGATTTGGTCTCAGGACTCTTCCTCTGATCCTGTTCTTGAACCGGTGTCGGAATTCTCCGATGCGGACTGCCCTCGGTGGTATGAGGGTCTGGCGATGTGGCGTGATTGCTCGCGGCGTCCATGGTGTCGGTAATATTGTAACCTGCGAGGTCAGTATTGCGGAAGTCTGATTGGCGTCTTGCCCTGGAAGCTGTATTTGTCGAGCAACCTCAGGGTCGCGATAGTTACTTACCAGTCGTTTTTCGGTGTTTGTGATAGGTTAAAAAGTTGGTGGGTGTAGTAGGTAGGACGAAAGACTGTGAGTCCTTTTTTGTGGGCAGTAGCGGCTTTATATGGAGCCTGCAAAACAGTTGGGCGATAATTAATTACGTTCAACTTTACCTCACAGCGTAAATAAGCGTTCTCTCACCTCTGAGCCAATAGCTGCGCGTTTACTCTATAGGGAAAGGAGCCAGAGGTACCAATGAGACGTGGGATCTGGAGTACGAGACGTATACTGATGACCACGACTGGAGCCTGACCAGTCACAAGAGCAGACTGCCGATGTCGGTGAGCAATATTTACTTGTCGGCAAGATGATGCGCTCCTGATTCCCTGTAGCGAGGCGTATTCACGGGTATCTGAGCAGGATTGCTGTAGTCATCTGAGCTAGAATGGTCACGTAGTAGGGCGTTGTCATAACGACGTGTAGGAGTGAAGAGGACCACATAATAGCGAAGCACGGAAAGTGGATGTCAAAGACTATACAAAGGTCAGCATTCCTTGAACTTCCTCCAGGGGAAGCAAAGACTCACCGGCACTGTTAGAACATCGAGATAGGGAGGGGTATCTATTCTTCTATATCTTTGATCTTATCTTTTCCGTCTCTTCGCCATGCCTACCATTGAGGATGAACCATTTTACACATACTCACACAATCCTTCCGATATCCCCCTTCAACCTCGTCACAAACTCGTCAAATAGCGGCGCCAACGAACAATCCCGGTACTTATCTACAAAAAGACCGCCCTTGTTTTTAAGAGCTGCGACCTCTTCAGTGTCGAGCTCTTTGCCTTGTATGACAGTACCCTTGGGGTATACGGGCCTCGTCCCACTCTCTACCAATTCCACAAACGCTGGATCAATTGGTACAGAGCCGAGGAATGGTACTTCGAACTCGGTCGCCATGACTGCTCCGCCGCCTTTGCTGAAGACATTTGTGCATTCCGAACAGTTGGGGCACACGAACCCGGCCATATTTTCCACCACGCCTAGTACCCTTATTCCGGTCTTCTTGCAGAAATTCAGCTCCTTCTTCACGTCGCTAACACTGATAGCTTGTGGGGTTGTGACTACGACGGCGCCTGCCAAGAACGGGACATGTGGATTGAGAGCAGGAGATGGCGTGGTATTCTTCAGGAGGGTTTCGAGTAGGGAGATATGTTCGTCCGAGGTACCGGGTGGTGTATCGATGAGCAGGTAATCGAGCTTTGGCCAGAGGACGTCGGTCAAGAATTGGCGCACCATGGCGGTCTTCTTTGGGCCACGCCAAATTACAGCGTCAGAGCGCGAAGCCAAAATGAATCCCAGAGACATGCATGATAAAGATCCAATCTTTTGACCATCTGCAGTCGCCGCTCCTCCCTCTTTCTGATCTGTTGTATTCCCATCCTCTCCTTCTTTCTGATGCGCAGCCAACGTCTGCTCACCATGCACGTCAACCGGTATCCACCCACCCGGCGCCTGTCTTACTTTCGCATCTTCAATACCAAAGAAGCGCGGTATACTCGGGCCCGTCAAATCTATATCCAAGACACCAACCGAATGTCCTTGTAGCGATAGCGTGAGGGCGAGTTGCGTAGTTACGCTCGATTTTCCGACTCCGCCTTTGCCGGAGAGGACGAGGACGATGTTGCGAATGTTTTCGAGAGGCATCGCGAACACGGAGGCTCTGATAGCCTGGGTATATATGGACGCGGGGGTCGGTGGGGTTTGCGTTGACGGGGGCTGATGGGAAGTGGTTCGTTGTAGGGGGGTGTATGCGATTTCGAGTCCCACAAACTATCGTATTAATCCGGAGCGTCGTCAGATGGGCGGGAGGAGGGGTGGTGTAGAGGGTGTCGCGGATGGCGCATGATGTGAGTGAATGAGGGTTGTGGAGCGCGCTTTGAAATCCAACGACCTGAAAGTGGCGGTTTGCGGCGAGATCGGAGGTCCGACCTTGACCCGAGCAGGCCTACCTTACTACCAGCGCATTACCTCCCACGAACTCTGAAGGTTATTATAATATGGTTATCTTGATAAACGGCAAATGGTCATCCTCACAAACTCGAATTGACTCTAAACTCTTGCATTTAATACATGGCAACACATGGACATATGTGACTGTACCAGAATCAGTATACCTGCCTTAAGCGTCTTTCATGATGACCAAGCCCACGATAACATCTCAGCCATGAATTCGGGAAATCATGTGCTCGAGGCAGCAGCATATCCGCTTTGAGCACATGATCTACCGAACTCATGGCTGAGATGTTACCGGGAACACAGTTCCAAACCCGACCGCATGGAGCAAGTCAAAACCTGGACATTTGATGATCAAGCCCAAAAGGTCATTCCATATCTGGTATCAAATATAATCCCATTTTCCAATCCGGTTCTTCGCAAGTATGTTGACCGCGTTTTCCCTAAACAGCAGCCTTCTTCAGCGGCACCTCCTCACCAACAACCAATCTGTATCCCTCAGCACCCTTCTCGGTCTCCAAGTCCTTAGGCGTCGCCGCCTTGGCGCCCACTTCAGGAAAGCTAAACGCCTTGCTCCTGCCACCCTCCAGACCCTTCCAAACACCGACCGTGTTCCAGTTGGTCCATGTCAGCGCGCCAACCCACGGCTGCACATTCCACCCCAGTTCCAGTGTGACGTCCGTCCTGTTGCCCAGCTTGCCCGTAATGTCGGTAATCTTGTACTTGGGCTTCTGGTTATCGAGGTGGAGTTCACCGACGGGGTAGGGCGACGCGGTCTTTTGCTTGGATGCAGCGCGTTTCTTGGCGGATTGCTTGGGCAGCTTGGACTTGGGGTCGGGGTGGATGAAGTGGTTTTGGTTCCAGGGCGAGGACTTTGAGGCGACGATGGCATCCCAGATGATGGCTTCGGAGGGGGGTTCGGAGGCGCGGGTGGAGGGGTAGACGGCCTTGAGGTAGACAAAGACTTGCTTCGTGTTCCAGTTGAAGAGGGAGCTGAGGTCTGCATGGAGGCGTCAGTCAGGATGTTTGAAAGCTTGGCCGCAGCGTGATTGCGACTCGTGTGAGAGACGTACCAGCGTCTAGATCGAACTTGACATGCGCATACTCCTCCCGCTTGGGTGAGTAGTAGTGCGGCCGGCCTCTCACTACCTGTACATTGCGCAGCGATATACTGGCCGTCGGGTTCTGCGGGGAGACGAAGCTGCTCAGCGCGATGATACTCGCGACTGTGAAAGCGACTGTGGTAAAGAAGCCAAAGACATTCTGGAGACGCACAAGCGTCGAATGCATTGTGAAATGTGTAGGGTGAGCGCAGAGCCCAGTCTATCAACCTCTTTCGGCCACGAGAGGTAGAAGGAACTGTTGAAGGTGGGCGTGGAGATGTAGCCTTGGGTGGTCCTAACACGTATCTGGACTCTTGCGCGGAGGTCGGAGCTCAGCCCTATGAGACCAGGGTTCACCTATTCCACGCTAGTGCATCATCGTCTCATGTCAGACGAGTGGACATTGTCACAAGTACACATGTTCGAGTGGGCTTAAGTTTATTGTTGCTGCTACCGACGACTCAATATGGGTATCAGGCTACACCACTCCTATCATCCAACGTTATCTTCCCAAACCTTGAGCTCTTTCCCTGACATGTACGCGCATCGTCTATGCATCCCTCCCAGATGTGTTCACGCTGAACGCCGCAACGCCACGCTAACTTACTTTCTGGGACGCTCAAACAATAACGAACAGACGTTTAAATGATCGAGAAGAAGACTCTACTGTGCAGCAGGTTGCGCGCCGCCCCTTGGGCCTCCACGCCCACGGAATCCGCCACGACCACGGCCTCGTCCTCTACCACCACGTCCGCCATCTAGATTGGCCGGCGGTGGTACGTTAGAGTAGTTTCGCGGCTGGAAGTTCGGGTTGTTAGGAACAACTCCCTCCGCTGGGTCAGTGTTGTCGATGACAGTGAAGCCACCACGGCCCTTGTGGCCTCCTCGTCCACGGGGAACGAAGTCTGCTGAGCCACCTCGGAGGTTACCGCGAGCGTTGCCGCCGTTTGGAGCTTGGTTCTGGTTCTGCGCGGGCTGGCCATTTGCTTGTCCACCACGGGGCGCGAATCCGCCACGGCCACCACGAGGTGGTCCGCCATGAATCGGGAGGGTCTGCTGCTGTCCTTGAGATTGCTGTGGTCCTGGGCTTTGGCGTGGTGCGAAGCCTCCACCCCGTCCGTTCGCGCCTCCGAATGCTCCTCGGTATGACCCACGGAGAGGTGCTGGCGTACCCGCTGGAACGAGCTGAGGACCCCCAGGGGCACCGAAGCGAGGCATGTTGTACGATGAAGGTACTTGTTGTGGGCGCTTCGCGGCAGCAGCACTGGAATAGTGGACGACCTGCTGATCCGTCATATTGAGAACTGCAGTTGCTGGAACAGTGGATCCTCTGAATGGCGAACAGCGGTCTCCGAGCGATGTACCGCTCATAAAGGTGGCATCGAACACAACATCCAGCAGCAAAACACGTGCGGTGCGGGTCTTGCCAACCACGGTACCTGATGATCCAATTGGTACCCTTCCAGAGTCCTGAACATAGACGATGCGATCGCCAATGCTAAAGTTCTGGTGTCCAAGACGCTGCTCCGCGTCAGATGGCTTGAGCAAGGCAACACGTGGCACCTTAGCAACAGTCTTGGGCTCAACTTCTTGTGTAAGTGGGAAGTTGGCATCAGCCGCTTGCTCGATGAGCTTGACTGTATCAGAGTCGAGCTGCTCGGCGTCCAAGGGTACTTTCTCAAAGTTCTTGGTTTGGACACTCTTTAACCAGGCTCCAATCTCCTTGACCTTCTGCTTTGCCACCTCGGGAGGATAAAAGTCAGTGTCCTCCCATCCATCACCTGTCGGGTTGTTGATAATGGCGGCAACAAACTCTGGGAACTTGATCATGTACTGCGCCAAAAGGTCCATCGCTTTCTGGCTGTACTCCCAGCCGTTGGCTGATTTACGAGAATAGCCCAACACCTTGAGCTTCTTCGCCTCGAATTTGAGGTTCAACCCAAGGTTGAGCTTGAGACCACTTGAGTTAACGTTGAAAGAGGACGTGAGCTTGGACAATGCAAGCGGCGGCATGTTCAGTTGCCTTGCCACAACGTAAGATGGAACATAGGGTGTTGACCTTTCAGCCTTGCTGACAACTTCACGTCCAAAATGCGGCTCTTGCTTCTTGAGCTTGGCGACCATGATTGTAGCCTTGTTGTCGGCATGGCTGACGACTTGCAGAGGACGGCCATAGGCGTAGTCTCCGAGATAGAATGCGCGTGCTCCTTCGGGGAATTCCTCCTCGATAGGAAGTGCCTCTTTCTCCAGGAAGCGAGGGTCTGCGCTGAAGACGTCGTCTACGACTGTCTGGGTCGCGTACTCCACTTGCAGGCCAGCAACCTCACCGTACTCCTTGATGGTGGCTCCTTCGTCAGTCTTCCTAAGTCCCTTGAGCATTTCTACGTGCACAAGGGACTCAATTTCTCCGACGTTGATACCGAGGCGCTTGCTGTACTGGTTTTCGATGCGGTTGGCCGTCTTCTTCCAATTGGAGATCTCCTGTGGACCATGAGGAATAGCAACAGGTGCAGGAGATGGGCCATCCTCGGGCAAAACGTAGTCGAATAACTCGTCCGATACTTTGACCACTTTCGCTTCGTGTAAGAAAGGGTAACCAACGTGAACTGCCTTGCCCAGCTTGGCCTGCGCGTGAGAGACAGACTGTCGTGGCTCTGTATCAAGGAGTGTGATAACCATGCTTTCGTTCCGGCTATCTTGCATGAAAACATTGACGCCTGCAAACTCCAGCTTGCCATGGAACGGCAAAGTCTTTAAACTGGGAAAGCCAGCCAATGCCTCGGCTCCCAGCTTAACACCGTCCATGAGGCCAATGTAATACTCCAGTCCTTCCATGGTCGGCAGGTCGAATATGTTCTCGATGCATTTGCAGTGGGGAAGGTCCGGAAAAACGCCTGGCAGAGATGACTGATACACGAAATCCAGATCTTTGGCGTATGTGAACTTGAGAGAAACACCAAATGAATTACGCATCTTTTCATCTGGCGTCAAGTCATTCTCCTTAGTGGCCATGGCCTTGAGCAGACGGTCCTCTTGGATGAACGGAATCTTGACAACAGCCTCCCAGTCCTGTTTCTTTCCGTTCATATCGAGAGTAAAGTCTCGGGGATAGAAATCGATGATGGGAGAGTCCTCGTTTGTCATGAGAGGATGGTACGCTTTCGGTACGATACTCTTACTGCGGTCGGGCAGTACACCCATCAACTGCTGGAAAGGCTTGAACGGCTGTCCAAGCTTGAAGTTGATGTCCGCTTTCAGACCCCGCTTGACGTCAGAAATCATAGGCGAGTAGTGGTAGCCATAGTACCATGGCCATGACGCTACTCCGCGGTAGTAGTAGAAAAGAACCCATTGCAATCCTTGCACGTAGTTCTCCGTCAGTTTGCGTAGCTCCTCCTCGTTGCTGCGATCCCAATCGAATTTGCTCTTGTAGTAGTCGTTCTTCCAAGCGTCGAACTTCTCGTCGTATTTCTTTTGCATCTCAGTTTGGGCGTCTTCGGGTGAGATGTCGACAACCTTGGCCTGCTCGTACTTCTGTACGACGCGTACAATGGCTTTCGTGGATTCGTCGTCCATCTCGTCCTCGTC